AAAAAAAAAAAAAAAAAAGAAAAAAGAAGACTAGCATACGTATTAATCTCAACGAACCAATATGTTTTTTATCCAACCGACAATACGTTGTGACACGTTAGAACAGATAATAATAGTTGAAATTGCAAGAGAAGAAAGACGTTGGTAAAGACAAGGGGTGGCTCAACGATCAATGCGCTTCACCCTATCGATTTGTAGCCGCGCGAATAATCGTCCAATGGTTACTTACTTCACTTCCTTCGATAAACGACCTGCTGGCCTGCCTGGAGGGAAGGAGCATACACTTGATCGTCAAATGGACACAAATGACTAGCTTAACATTATCCTCGAGCACGTTCGAAATGCCCCGGTCTAGACCAAAACTGTTTGTACCCGCGAACGCGATCTCGACGCAGACTTACAGCACACCGACGAGCGAGAGCAATCATTTACCACCATTGAAGGGTAGCACGTTGGCATTGAAGCAGTCTGCCAGCGAGTCGTCGCCTAGTTACTTGAGCCGCAGCAGTCACATGTCCGGTACTCACCTGCCGAGTTTAAGTTCCAGCGCAAACAACAGCCTGCTCAGCCTGACCGGCAACTCCGACAGCTTGAATCTAAGCCTGAGCTCGCACACGAGTCACAACTCGAGCCACAACTCGAGCCACAATTCGAGCCATAATTCCAGTCACAATTCCAGCCACAGTTTCACCCATAACTCCAGCCATAACTTCACCAACGCCGGCACCACCACCAACACCACCACCACCGCTCACGAGTCTCAACAGTCGAACAGTCAGTCGAGCACTGCGCTGGTGTTGAAGAACGGATGCTCGAACGGAAGTTCCTGCGGCAGTGGTGTCCGTAAACCGAAGACGATCATCGCCACGCCCGACGTCGTTCTAAAGATCTACGTGGACAAGTTGACACCGTACGAGCACCACGAGATCTTCAATTACCGGCATGTATACTTCATCGGGGCGAACGCGAAGAAGAGGCCAGGGATAATCGGCCGGCCTCACAACAGTGGCTACGACAACGAACATGGTTCCTACATCCACGTGAATCACGATCACGTGGCCTACAGGTACGAGGTGTTGAAGGTGATCGGCAAGGGGTCGTTCGGCCAGGTTGTGAAGGCGTACGATCACAAGAAACAGGAGCACGTCGCCCTGAAGATGGTGAGGAATGAGAAGAGGTTCCATCGACAGGCACAGGAGGAGGTGAAGATATTGAGGAAGCTGCGCGAACAAGACAAGGACGACACCATGAATATTATCCACATGTTCGAGTCGTTCACGTTCCGTAACCACATGTGCATCACCTTCGAATTACTCAGTATTAACCTGTACGAGCTAATCAAGAAGAACAAGTTCCTGGGCTTCAGTATGCAGCTGGTGAAAAAGTTTGCCCACTCGCTGTTACAATGCCTCGACGCTCTCTATAAGAATAGGATCATTCATTGCGATATGAAGCCGGAGAATGTTCTTTTGAAGCAGCAGGGACGCAGTGGTATCAAGGTACGTTCTCTCCTCTCTTACATGCTCATTTTTCCAATTTTTTTTCAAACGATATACCAATATACGGCCTATACACTTGGCACACCCTTTCCTTATGTTTTCCAACGCTAGAACTACCCACGACTATATAAATATAACATTCGAGGAATTAAGCAAAGAAATTAAAGTGCAAGAAAAGGAGAGATGTTAATGATACATTGAAGCACACAAGCTTTGGTATATTTTATTGAAGATCACTCGAGTGTCTAAAAATATACTGTTACAGATACATGAGATTTTCATACATGTTAATGCATCAAATTCGTTCTCGCTGGAAATCTGGGGCTTCTTCGCCTTCGATTTTTCTGAACTTTTCTCGGCGAGCAAACAGCCGCCTCTCTCGTGCCAATGTCTAATACGTTGTCCGCTTCGTGTCGGATCTTTCGTCTTCGCCGAGATCAAACGGCGCGGATCCTCTCGACAGGCAGGGAACACAAGCTCGCCGTTAGCGTGAATAAGCCGGCAGGCATAAGCGGAATAAGCGCGCGACAAGTTTCGCGACGTGCTTCATACGTATTATGCTATACCCTGCGCGTACGCAAGTGAAACGTAAAAAAAAAAAACGTAGTACTGTTGGCGAAAGAAATGTAACGTGGTCGTAAAATTACGTCTCGTGGAAGTTTGAAGGAAAAAAGTTGGCAGAGAAGACGAGCGCGTTCACGTTTTTTTTTTTTTAGAGTCGATTGTGAAACTACTGTAATCGTCTTTCTTCACCTTAATTTAATAATCATTACGCGAATTAAAATACGACAAAAAGCTTGACACCACGCAGCTTGCCATTCTAATCAAAGTACAGGTATTTCGAATATTAAAAATTATTAAAGTCTCGCGAATTCAATTTTTACGAGCCCGCTGTTCCTGATTACATCACGCGACAGCATATGGATTTCGTGTGCCAGCGTGCGCACGGACGACGAATCGTGGGATCACACAACAATGCACGAAGATTATCATATTGACGAATGCAATCACGCACGCGTGTGCAGAGACAGACGTACACGTATAGACGTCCTTGTCCCTTCGTAATAAGCTCTGAAGAAACATGTGCGATGCACGTCCAGGTAACGTCGTTATTCTATAGTCTATGGAATTTGCACGCAATATCGTGAACTTTCCAGCTAGTTGGTCGCTTTCTTCGCCGACCTTGCGAGATGCATTAAAAAAAAGTGTACATTAAACGCGCCACGATTCGCTTTCGCTTCGACGCGTTTTTTTCTTCTTCGAATTATTAACTATGCGGACGATCGTGCGCTATGCAAGATGGTAAGTAGACAGATGCAAAATCAGTCGCTTCGTCTGGAGGAATTCATGCAAATTGACTTGAGGACAGACAGACTGAAACTATTGATTAAACTAGAAGTATCTATTTATTTCAATTCTGACGGGCTCCATCATACAGGAAAAGTGGTAAAATATGTATATCCTGAGGAGAAAGATACATAACAGTATACAAGTGAAGACATAACTGTGCAGATCAAGTGGATTAACTTTATACTTTGAGATTGTTTAATGAACCAGAAAAACATATCAACGGTGATAATTGGATCGGAGAATCGTTTCTAAAAAAAAAAATTAATCCAATGTTAGCATTAACACTAGAACTATCAAAGTAGTCAAAATGACCAAGTAGAATTTCTGTCAGATATTTTATAGACGACAGTGTATTTTTTAAATATATAAATGAAAGCTTGCATGCTCCATTGTACTATAAAGTTTCTCTATTTTTTTTTTTTTTTTTTTTTTTTTTCTGACTGTAACACTAAACGTACCAAGCGGGGTCAAATGACCCGTTTTCAAAATTTACTTTAAATAAAAATATACGCTTGATTATTTTATTAGAAGTCAGAAGTTATGTTGTAAATTATTTCCTTTAATAAATTTAAGAATTTCTTTCTAAAAATCAACGTTTATTCATAAGAGGTCAAATGGCCCCTTATGGTAAGATTAGGTACATGTAAAATGCCGGTACGTTTAGTGTTAATGTCTCTGATGGAAATCTTATTTTTCTAGTCGAAGAAACGTAGGACGAAAGATAATGATAACGTTGAAAAGAAATCATATCAAGTTCATCAGTTCATATTTAATTTGCAGAATATTATTTACGTGCGTGGTTGCACAGCACATTATAATTCCGTAAATGAACAGGAGGATATTCGATGTTACTTTAATTGTATCACTATACTCTACGAAGAATTAAATTCAGGAATTACACACCAATGCGTTGTTTCGAGGGCTTGGAAAGAATAGCTCGGAATGTTTTAATAATTTGAATAATTCAAGAGCCAACCTCTGGCACGGATATAATTAACCAAGCTCGGCTTGGCTCGATAAACCACAAACTTCACGTAAAGCCTCGAATTTTTTCAAGCGTCACGTCGTAACTTTATTTTTTTATTTTCCATCCCCCCACACGAGAGATACACACACACACACACACACACACACACACACACACACGTGAGTCTTAAAATCAGTTTAACGAACTGAGGAAAGTGGTTGGCTCGTGGTTTTATTACTTGTCGTTAACAGGCCAATCATCGAAGAATATTTCATCGAGTGTGTGGATCACTTCAGGCCTTCGATGCATTATCGGATATTTTGAATAAGGTATCGTAAAACGATCGAGCGTTAGTCGTATCTGAATGGGCGAAAATAAGTCAAATTTTCGCCAGATAGGGTATTCACGCCGAACTTGTTGCTTGCATTTCTTTTCCGCTCGCGATAGCGGAAAAATGAAATCTGTTTCTCTCAGATGTGGAATAAGTATCCCATTTTTTTTTTTAATAAATATCGTTGATTATCGAGTAATAAATTCAAAGTTTCGGATCTTCTCGATCTTGAGGAATTATTTTTTTGCTCCGATATTTATATAATATCATTCGCGAGCAAATCATTTCCTTTTTATAAATTCGCTTCTCTGTTTTCTCAGGCAGAAATGATTATTCTGAACTTTTTGTGAAAACTAAATTTAGATTATTATGTATCGTGTCGGTGTATCATCATCGAATAGCGTGCCAAGTCCCATAACATTGAAACTATGAATAATGTATTATGTGTGCTTGATCTCACGTAAAATTGTTTTGGCTTTTTCTATTTAAGCTCCGACGTTTAACACGTTTGCCGTGCGATTGTTTCATCAGTTCGAATATTCATCGATTTTTCAAGAAGGCGAATATTCCTCGAACAACGCGTTAGCAATGCCATGTTTCATTTAATTGTATTCCTCCTCCTTCCACGTTTCGCTATTCTTCACTCTATACACGATGGTTCGTTATCTCGTTTCTTCTGCCGCGTACGCCAGAAAGATTCAAAGGAATTTTATCCGCCTTTTCATGAAATCACACAGAGGGGCAATCGGTTGAACGCGCCGCGACGAACTCGTAAATTAGACGGCATGATGGAAAAGCCACGACTGCGGATGAAAATTCAAAATCTACAAGAATGCGTCGAATAAGCAGTACGTGATAAATCACGTTCCTTTATTCTCTCATTCATTTAATCAATCCCGTTTTTCGACTTGAACACGTATTGTTATATTCCTCTTCCACAATTACAAAACCATAGCGATATCTCAACGAACGAGAAACACTTCTGGTTTTTACCCATCACGTTTCCTTCATCTATCTTCACATGTGATGCAAACGTGAAAACGTGATAAAGGTAGAATACATATTCGCAGGCTGAGAAACAAGTGTCGGTCAACGCGTTAAACTGTAAAGCTTACAACCGCGATGCGTAAACGCAAACTCGACCGTAAACTCTGAAAAGTGAACGCTACACACGTTCCTCACGATTATTCAAAAAATAAAGAAGAGAGCAAACATATTGCATATTGAGCAAACAGTGCAGAGCTGCAAAATCCAAAGACGAGACTTTACTGCGAGGAAAGAAAGAAAGAAAAAAAAAAAAAAAAGAGAGAGAAACGTGGCTGGAATCCGTATTAATCAAATTTCGCGAGGAACGTGTCAATTTGTTTGTTCGACATTCTCCATTAACCACGCGTTTTCTGTGGCTTCCGTGCGAATCGGCCGCTGTCATTGGTATCGCAACGCCTCTTTTTAACTCTGTCCGAGTTGAACGCGGATCATCGGATCGGACAGCTGAACGAGGAGACCGTTTTCTACGCGTTACGATCATTCAGACGAGAATATCTTGTCGCGGCGCGTAGGGAGAGACTCTCTGTTACTCGCCTGGCGCGAGAAGAAATACGAATGATCTCACTTTCCAGATCGCATAACCCGTGACGGTAACAAGATCGGGCCGGAGTTTTCCGCGCGGTTCGCCTCGGCTCGATTCGATAAGAGAGGCGTAGGAAGAGTCGCGTTCTCGTACACGTATGTGCGTGCCAGCGTTACTTCCGTTCGTGGATCCCCCTTGGGAGATGGAAGGTAGATCTTCTCGAGATCTCGTACTCCAAAAGCGGAGTTGTTTATTGTACCTTTGGAGTATCCCTCGGATCGATGGAAAGAGCAAGGGTGTGTCTGTTATTAAAGGATTTGTGAGCCGATTTCGACTAATTAGGGCCTCCTCCTAATTACAAATATCCTGCTGATGACTCTAGTTTTCGCAGATATCCCTGAAAGAAATAGAAATCGATATGAAAAGAGAGAACGTATAACGATATAATTTCTATTCATTATTTATTGGCGTACATTTACAATGTTATTATTAGAAAACACATCTAGCATAGTAAGCTACGACAAACATACATTTCGTTTCTTGTAAGATTTTCTTCTGCATCTCAAATGAGCAGTCCACTTAAACTAACGCTAATGAAACAAGTTCTTGCTATTTTTTTTTTTTTTTTAGAGAAGGGTACAACAAGTTGAATGTACGTTGTAATCGTAAGATCGATTTCCATTATTTGACAAATCAGGGGTAATTTAGCCGAAGTGGAATATATAATACGAAATCAGGACCCTCAAATATTATATAAGTCGATCTTAAACCTTTTGGCAACATGAAAAAAAAATTTTTTTTTTTTTTTTTTTTTTTTTTTTCGTTTCTTCGGTGTTGTTATAGCAATCACCGACGTCAGTCCGATAAACTGTTGTTGTCGATTGACAAATTTGAATATTTATTGGAACGTACGTGTGTTGAAACGATCGATCCTTTTCGTTTCTTTTTCCCTGGTATTTTTGATCTTTAGGACTTTGACGACAATCCATTCGCATTATTGCTCGAAACGCGTATATTCCCTTCGCTTCGCCGGGGAATTAACGAAACACGAACGAATTACAATTGACGCGAAATTTATAATTTCATGCCCAAAGGAATATCCTCTTTGTGACGCCGTTCGAAACTCGTTATTCCTCTCTAATTTAATTTTCGTTTAATATTCCGAATAAAGCGCGCTCGTCGCCGTTCGCTTTTCGTCGAAAATTTAAAGCGACCGATTAACATCCTTCTTTATACTTTAATCGGGCGTTCTAATAAAAGGCAATTACCTGATTA